CTCTTAAAGGCTTCCAGTTTCTTTTCAAAAGCCTTTATGTAAGCAAACATAACATCAAGTGTCTTGCCAGTTCCTTGTAATTTAACATTTAAGTCATTCAAATGTTCACAAAAAATTGTAAATGGAAGATTATAAGAGAGGGGTTTGCGTGCCAGCAAAAGTTACTGGCGTGCCATGTTTGGCACACGTGCCAGGGGTTGCCCACCCTTGGTCTATAGGCTTACTAATTTTTTATCTGATTGTACTAGCAATACAGTCATACAGCTCATAATGTTTGAGTGAATGATAGACTGCGGTGTTATACCATAGCCTAGGTGTGTAATAGACTCTCCATGTAGGTTTGTGTAAGTATACTATATGATGTTCAAATAATGACAAACTCGCCTAGTGACACATTTCTCAGAATGTATCCATCATTAAGTGGTGCATACTATAACTGAAAGAGGTATGTTAATCTCCCATTTTGATGGTCGATTTTTCAATTTCTCTCTCTAGTTGTACATAGTCTTTTATATATTTGGAGGTGTTCTATTAGTGCATATAAGTTTATTTACTCTATGTAGTGATCTTCTTTATCCTTTGTAATGCCTTTGTCTCAAAGTTTTATTTTTTAGATATTAATATATCTAACTCAATTTTCTTTTGGTTAGCATTTACCTTATATATCTTTTCCCATCTTTTTTCCTTTTAATCTTTCCTTGTCCTGATGTTTTAGATGTGTCTCTTATAAAATGGCACCATAGCTGACTTTTAAAATTGTATAGAGTGTGTTAATCTCTGTATTTTATAGGGTAAATTTTGGTAACTTATGCTTTTCAAGTTTATTTGTATATTGAAATTTGTTTTTACCTTCTCACTTTTTGCTTTCTATTTGTCTAATTTTTTCTATGCTTTCCTTTTTCTGCTTGCCTTCAATATTGTGTTTTCTTCTCCCCACTACTGATTCTGTAAGATATCTTCTCAAGTTAGTTGTCTGTAAAAGGATTAATGTTGGAAATCTCAGCAACCCATAGTTGAAGGTAGGGCTGGGGATGGGATGTGGATTTTCTGAAAGATTTGAAAGTGATGGGTGATGGGGGAGAAGAGACAGGGAGATGATGGAGGTAATGGATGACTGAAGCTAATATATATATAGCAATTGTGAGATAAGGATGTCTGATAGGACTTGAGGGATGGGAAGTGGGGGGAGTGTGAGATGAAGCCTTAAAATAGAACCTGGCCCATCTGGTGTGGCTCAGTGGTTGGGCGTCGACCTGTGAAGCAGGAGGTCACTGTTCGATTCCCGTTCAGGGCACATACCGAGGTTGTGGGCTCAGTCCGGTCCCTGGTGTGGGGCGAATGGGAGGCAGCTGATCGGTGATTCTCTCTCTTCATTGATGTTTCTATCTCTCCCTCTCCCTTCCTCTCTGAAATCAATAAAATAAAATAAAAAGAACCTGAAGGGATTAGGTAAGGGAACTGAACTAAAAGCTAGTAAAAAGATAATGAGGGTCCAGCTGAGTTTGGAGATCAGGAAATTGATGATACCTGTGTAATACAGGAGCTGCTGATTTGTTGACCTAGTGCTTCTGCCATAATCACACATATGATAATTCATTTCTGCAATGCATTTGATTTCTCTGTTCAATATTTTATAATTGCTTTGGCCATTATCCTGCCTGATTCAAGCCAGTAAAGCACTAGCTCTAGAATCGGAATGCCTGGGCTTGAATCCAAGCAACTTCACTTACTTGCTGTTTATTTATGGGAAAATTAACCTAAGCTCTCCTGAGTCCTCATTTATAAAATGAAGATTATAGTACCTCACTCTCGGAGTTGCTATGAAGATTAAATTAGTTAACATGTGTAAAGTACTTGCTTCTTGAAATATAGTAAATTCTTAATAAATGGAACTGTTGGGGTGATGACAACAGTGATGATCAGTAATAGCGGTGCATGTGGAATGCTTTGTGCCAAGTTTTGTGTTAGGTTCTGGTCCAGATACATAGAATAAAATTGACAAAGTCCTTGTTCTCATGAAGAGTTTATATTTTCCTTGGGGATAAGAACTAAGATGATTTCCTCAAAACTATCTAAGAAAGGGCCTAGGAAAGAGGCTGTTGTATAGTTCAATAAAGATTAAGAAATAGCCAAGTTGAGGAAATGTTAAGGTTTCAGGAACTTGTATAGCTTTGCTGTCTTTATATTTCTACTAGGGGCTCAGTGCACAAATTCATGCACCTTGAAAGGAACTGTGGGCCACGAGGCTGTGGGCACAGGAGAGGGTCTCGGCCCATCCTCCGAGCCCATGTCTGGCCCCCAGTCACCTGTCTGCTGGCCGCCCCGCTCCTGCCGCTGCTCCCATGCTCTGACGGCGCTGGCCCCGCTCACACCCGCTGAAGGCGCAAAGCCATTGGGGCCAGCACCAGCAGTGGGTGCGAGTGACAGCTGCTTCCCTGATCACCCCTCCACAGCAGGGGGAGATGGAGAAGCCCTCAGGGGTGATCAGGGTCAGCAGCTGTCGCTTGCACCCACTGATGGTGCCAAGTGATCAGGACCAGTGCCAGGCACCGGCAGCGGGTGCAAGCTGTGGC